CTTGAATCCAATCCACCAATCCTTTTGAACCAATCCATGAATCCAATCCACAATAACATAAAAGTATAGATTTAGTTTGTACAATACAAGATGTTGTATCACTCAACTATAGGAGAAGATTCCACCATTTCATATTTGCTCATTACGTGAAACCTTAAATAAACAATAAAATAGAGACAACTCTCAAATATTGCAACAACAAATTTATAAATTCATTTTGTACATTTACGGGATACTAAACAAACTTCTACGGTGAAAAGGGTTGACTGTTGTACTGACGGCCAACTAAAAGAATTGGTCAAAACCTTTCCAATATCTACTTCCTCTTCGTTTCATTTTTCACTCGCCTTCCATAACCCTTTTTTAATTTCTTTGTTTGCCTTCTTTGTCTAACCCTAATTAGTATACTATTTTTATGTATTCTAATTACAAGTATGAACGGGTCCATACACGACTCACCAACGGTCTAGAAAATTATTAATTAAACTATAAACTTTTTCAGCCCAATGTCGAGTCCAATTAAAAATAAATATATATGGTTATTACTTATTAGAAAGTCGTCATCTTCGAATATGGGATTTGAAGGCGTGAAATTTTTCACTCGGGGCTAGAATTTTTAACAATTATGCATGGAATGTTAGGCTAGGTATCTATACATATCAAATCAATAGTTTCCATTTTTCTATAAAAAGGTAAATAATTATCATCTTAAATACATCACCATTAAAGGTTTTAAGCCTCAACTATGTAAATTATAGTTTGGTACCTCAAAATATTGATGGAACATTATATTTTAGTACCTAATATTTTTGTGTATTAAATTTTGGTACCTAAACTTTTGAAGATGTACAAATAGGTCTAATTTGTGTATGTGGAACTAAAATACCCTCGAATAAATGGTTATTCATACCCAACTCATACACATTTAGATTGCGTAAGTAAATATCAATACCCTACCAAAACCCATCTACAAACTTCCAAACCCATATATATGCCACTCATACCATACCCATGATCAATGGGTCTACTTGGGTTTAGCTAAATATCATTTATATTCAAAAATTTCAAAATATTTTAAATTGGATGTTGACTGTCATATATCTCTTCTCAGTTAGTATTATAATTTCAAGTCAATATTACTAATACAACTAGTAATAATAAAAAATTAATTTTAGACTAATAATACTAACAAAACACTATAAGGGGCCACATAATACATGCCCATATGTCAATTTCATCTCCGCTCCGCGACAAGGCGCGACCACCTGGTTAATATATAAAGGTAAATATGGTTTACTGTTCACTAACAATGTTCTTTGGTTAGGCTTATGATCATTGGTATAAATAATTGGCTCTTTAAAATATGGGCTGTGAGAAGAGTTGTTTGATTATGGGTTGTGAGAAGTGTTGTTGGGCTTGGGAGATTCTAAATTCATTTTGGAGTTTCTTTTTTGTTTTGCGTGGAGAAATATAGCTATTGTTTTGCTTTATCTCAATAGGATTTTCCCCTCTTCCCTTCTAGAGGTTTGGTGCTCTTTATGGAATTTTCTTGAATATGTATGGATTAGGATTTTTGGAGTCTTCATGGTTATTGGTACACCGACATGGAATCCATTGTTTTACTTTCAAGGAACTAATTCCATTGGTTTTAGGTAATCTCTTATTTCGGCCTTCCAAGTGTGAAGAGTAGTAGTGGTAGTTTGGTAGATTACTAAAGTAGTGTGCTAATAATTTATGGGCATAGTGATTTTCACTTTAATCATTTGTTCGAGTATTCCTTTCTTTGTCAGTCTACTATAATGTGTTCCTAAATTGCATCATGGGTAGTTTTTTTTGGCTTTTTTATATGACTAACAACGATTGGTTCTTAAATTGTTGATTGAGATGATTGAATGAGCTACTCGAAGCTCGATAAGCAATCGAATTTGGTTTCAATTAGAATTGGAAGACAAGAGTGGTTATTGGAAGCTCATTGATTCTTTGAGGATTGTTTCTAGGTTTAATTCACATGCTACTTCATTTTAATCATTGCTATAGTTAATTTCATTTTTCATACCACAAGGAATGCAGTCAAACTTGGAAATTTGATCGTAAAATCGTTTGATTTTAGGATTTTACTTAGGGATTCCGATCCTAATTTTACTATAAAATCGGTGGACTTTAAAATCGTTTAAAATCAGGATTAAAATCGTACCAAAATCGGGATTTTGATCGTATGAGAAAAAAAAGGTGGTTTGAGCTAATTTAAAAGAAGCATAACTATTTCGGCAGAAAGGGCAATGACGAGAATCTTCTCAGATATTTTTTCTATTAGAAATTTTTTTAAAAATAATAAAAATAATCAAATTAGGGCTCGGTTTATCCCTTTCCCTTCGTCCCATTTAACTTATTGGTAAAACAATTGTCCTAATATTTGAACTATGTAAAAATTAACATCATTATTGACTAATTAATTTAGTAATGAATATATTTGTACCAACTAACAAGCCACTAGCATTACTTATTTTATTGGAGTTCAATTCTTTTTAGTTTTAAATCATACTTAGTAGACGATGTCGGAATATTACTTTGAGTTAAACTAACTAGACACAACATGAAAACAAGAGCCAAACACCATGAGCTCTATCCCTTCATCATGAATTATTTTCAGTTACGCATTAAATAACAATTAAATTAGTGATTTTCGAACATTAATCTTGATAATTATCTCCCGTAAAAAAATCTTGAGAATTATCATTTTAAATATTATGTATCTTTGTGTTATTAATGATTTACCTTATTAATATTAGAGCAATTCTACTATGCTATACAGTATTGTTGCTTTAATGTACAACTTGAAGTTGTACCATAACATTAAATGTACAAGTTTAGGTTGTACCATAAAAGAATTTGTATTATTATGTTATGGTACAACTTTACAACTTGAAGTTGTATCATCACATAAGGTACAAATTTAAGTTAACCCTATAGGTTTTTACCTTTATGGTACAACTTGAAATTGTACTTTTAATATTATGGTACAACTTCAGATTGTACCTATACTTTTTGTACAAATTCTTTTAGGGTTAATACCTTATTTTGGCCTGAACTATGACCATATAATCAACTTTGGCCCGTGGTTTCAGAAATTAACATCCTGGCCTCAACTATGTAACATATAGACTTAATTGGCCTGACACCTAGTTTGACCGTCAATTTGGATGGTCAACACCATTGACCGTTAGTTTGACCGTCAATTTTGGTTAATTTGAACATGATAAATAATAGAAATTAAGAAAATAATTTGATTTTGATTTTTTAAATAATTTTTAGGCTGGCGAGGCAATGACATGGCGTGTTGACTAACGGTCAACGAGGCTGACCATCCAAATTGACGGTCAAACCATCTGTCAGGCCAACTGAGTTTATATGCTACATAGTTGAGGCCAGGATGTTAATTTCTGAAACCACGGGCCAAAGTTGATTATATGGTCATAGTTCAGGCCAAAATAAGGTATTAACCCTAAAAGAATTTGTACAAAAAGTATAGGTACAATCTGAAGTTGTACCATAATATTAAAAGTACAATTTCAAGTTGCATTAGGTAGATGAACAAAGGTATTGTGTACTTCTCTATATTTGACAAAAAGAGCTAGTTTACAGTAAATATGAGGCACCAATATCAAGGATCCACAGATTATCTACAAGTGGAAATTTGGTAGGAAAAAGTAGAAAGATTGTACTTGCCTACATAATTAGGATATGGTGGTACGAGTTAAGATACTGAGTAGGCATTATGGGTTATAGATGGAGAGACTCGTGGTGAAGGAACATTATTAGCACCAGAGTTCATCATGTACCTTAGCATGTTCATTTCTTCATGTGTAAAACCTACCGCAGTTTTGGATGAACTTACAGTGCTACCTCCAAGAGTGTCATTTGAACTTGTGTAGCTTACTTCTGCAGAGGAGTCATTGGAGCTCGTCTGGGATACTGAAAATCAAAACTAGTGATGTTTCCTTGTGTGCCTTTTCTTCTTTAACTCTCCAGCATTCTTCCACCTTGTGATTGTACTTCTTATAGTAAACAGAAAATTTCTTCCCGTGATTCCTTGGATTTCCTTCTTGTCCAGGGATAGTGGTTTCCTGGGGCACATTTACATGGCACTATAGGATCGAACTACGCAAACTCTTCTCATAATCCCTTAATCAGGTTATGATGTTGACTGATAGTGATATTTCTCTGCTTACATCTATGATTTTCGTCCTCCGGATTAGTAATCCTAATCACATTAGGCTTAACATACCTCCACTTCGGTTCATCCCATAATATTTTAGCACTTACACGAATCATTACAGATCTCGTTACTTTATGCAAGAAGTTTAAGATCCAAGATAAAACTTATGTGTTACAAGCATCCCACAACAAATATTTATCATCAGTCGCTGGAAGAATTGGTATACTACCATCGATGAAGCAAAACTTATGCTTCATCTTAAGATCCATGACGGCAAAACTACTCATATGGGATAATTAGTTCCATCGAAGACTTGTGTGCCTATAGACTGATTTAGAGCCTCATTAGGGTTGAGATTGTAAGGATTACCAAAGATGATGACCTCAGATTTGGGTGCATTTTGAAGCTGATGTTGTTGTTTTTCAAATGTCCCGAACTGAATGCTATGTAACCCAGACCCAGTTGTGTCAGTCGATCCAATTCCTGACAACGGCGGTGCCCATCCATGGCTACTCAACGGAGGGGTGTTCATGGTAACCCTAGATGTGTTTCCACTATGATACCATTAGGAGTAAGCTTTTGAGAAAGCGGAACTCTCAAAGGAATTACAGGTCAACTGTTCCTTTCATATGACGCGGCTAATTCAAATTAGCTCGCCAGTCCACGTGGGAGCATGCCACTGGTTAATTACAAACTTACCTAGTTTAGCAATGGCTAACTAAACATAAATGAAACTACGTAGCTTTAGCTTTGTTCATTTAAAAGAAAGACAAAAATCGCAAACATTTCTGAAACGCCTTCATTCTTCAACTCTGCAATCCTTCCTCTATTTGGATTCAACCTTCTTCTTCATATGTTAGACAACAATCTCTGCTGACAGTGTCTAACAAATAGGAAGTCAGGTATTCTGTAGAAAGTTGAATGTCAACGGATCAACGGGAGGAGGTACCACAATAATCAAGAGGTGGCTTTGTCATTGGGACTTTTGGGGCAATGTGCACAACAGAATGGCGATGGAAAGTACAAGAACCCAGAAGCAACTTGCAATTTGGAAAGACAGTGAACCCAATTTTTATATTTTAAAAGAATGAAAATATGTGACGGTGCCAAAATTCTAAATGAGAAAACTCAAACTTGAGGGGCTATCTTCCCTAACTTCAACTTAGCTCCATTAAGTGATGGAATATAAATGTATTTGAATCAATATACGTATCACATTATTGACAAACAAGCTCGTTGCGTGTGTATCACAATTCACAAAAGATCTACATATGGAGGATATCTGAAATAATAGAGCAAATGATGAAGAGGAGATTGAATGACTAATAAGTGGAACCTAGAAAGAAGAAAGAAAAAAAAAAAATTGAACTCAGGCTCCCGTCATTACTTCCTTATTCACCAACACCAACTTGTTCTCCACATCGTTACTTCCAGTAATGTTACAATACTGATCATCCCAAGAATGAGGAGAGGGTGCCTTTAGTAGCGGCCACAAGACGTTATTATTCAGTTGCTTCATTGCTTTCATGGTCGTTGCTTTCGTTTTTTGCCTCACGAGGCCATGCAATGCCTTGAGGTAGTTACCCGAGTCATGGTCTCGCAGGATTGTGCCTTCGGAACCATAGGCTGTAGGGTTACTCAGAGTTTCCAGTGGGTGAGGGCGGTTCAGAAATGCCTTGAGGGCACTACCCTTGGAGGACTTGGAGTCGTTGCCATCGGAGTAGTTCCCAAGCTTCGGATCATCTAAAGTATAGAAGCCACTTCCCGACGGCATTAAAGGATGTGCAGGGGATGATTCCTCTTCAGGCTGGAGGATGAACAGCTTCCCGAGAGGCGAGTACAGCATCTTCTGCTTATTAAGGCAAGGGTGGGATCTGAAGGTTCCATTCAAACGCTTGAGGAGTAGTGCCACATGGTCGGGATAGTTGCAGGAGAAAGCTCTTGGGACGATGTCCCTGTGCATGATAACAGAGTGAATGTGCGATTCATCCAATCCCAAGTTGCTGAGCACCTTCTTACCCCCACAAAACACGAAAGGGGAGCCGAAAGTGACCACTGGTCGGAGGATAGATGGATTCGTAACTACCTTCCTCGTCAGCAGCATCAAGTGGATCAGAAGCGATAGGCTACCCCCTAGTGAGTGACCTGTAAACTGCAGCTTTGCACGATCTCCATAGCTCTCCAAATGACTCATAATCTCTGGCATAAATTGGTCATATATTCCCTTGGCTGCTTCATAAATCCCTCTGTGAACCAGCACATCAGTTCCCTGAGAAGACAAGTTATTCAGCGATAGATACCTTTTGTGTCCGCCTTATAATTTATTCATATCTGTTGATGTTTTATTTTACCTATGGATAGAAGGCATACCTCAAACTTGGCAGGTTCGAAGAAGAGGTTTGCCTGCCAAGAAGCAAAGGAGTCTGAACCTTGAATTACGAAAGAACGAGTATAAGTACTGGAATCGTCACAAATGAACCATTCACAAGGGGATGACTGGAGGGACTGGAGGTTATTTGCGGTCTCCTGTTTGTCCTTCTCTCCTGCTGCAACAACTGCTGTCATAGTTGATGCAGCAACATATGCTGCCACCTCCGACGGTGATTTTTTGTTTAATGGATGAGGTTGGTCTGAATAAGAAGAGCTCTGATCTGAGTGAATTTCCTTCGCCCGTGATTGAACATAAGAAGCTGCAGAAACCGCAATCTCGTAAGCAACTTCAGGACGACACTTGTGCTCTTCTTGGCTCCCACTAGGTTGCTCAGAAATTGCAGGTAAAACATAAGTAGAATCTCCGTCATCAAGCTTCGCTTTCATTGCAGCCACCTCAGCTTTCTTTTCTAAAGATGATGTCACAAACTGGAGCCCATAATGTCGTTTCAGATCATTGGCCTGCATATGTACGAGAAGACATTAGTAAACAAAATGTAAAACAATATAGTTACAGTGGAAACCAAAATCAGCCAAGTTTGAGAATATGTTCAACCCTAGGTACCTTAATGTCAGGTATAACATAAGCCATGTTGCACAAGAAAGCCAATTTGGAGAACAGCTTAGTATCAGACCAAGGAACACGCGTCAAGAGTCTGGAGAAGGTCTCCCTCTCATTGTACTCATTCTCTTCTTCTTCTGAGCTATTGTAATCAACCATACAACCAGAATTTTCATCATCACCATTATAACAATCATAGTCACAACCAGTTTTATCGACATGATGATGATCATCATCAGAAGAAGAGTCCATGACCATGTTATGGTCATCTTTCTTCTGTTGTCTAATATTCTTCCTCCAATGGCTTCTGATTTCTAAGAGCCTCTCCACCCAATTCGCTCTCTTAACCCCCTCGTCGATGTTGTCGTTACTTATCATCTCCCTGCTCTCTTGTTCAGACCTCTCGACTTCACTAGTGCTTGCCACCTCCTCCTGATCACGATGATCCTCTTCCCTCGCCGTCGACAATGGGTCAAACAGTAGAAGGGACTTAACTGGGTCTGGGATGAAGGAAGAATTGCCCGACATTTGGAATAACGGGAATCCAAACGAACGGCTGCTCTTCAATTTAGGCTGCACTGATGAGCAGGCGCGTATATTGCAGTTCACGGATTTGCATAATAATAGGTGATCGTCAGAATACGACCTCCGGATGTTAGCTTGTTGACACCTACTCAAGTCTTTGCCTGAATCCGAACGCCAGAGCCCATTGTAGTGCTCTTTCAACAAGTGCTGCGTTGTAGAAGCTGTACCTGCCGGAGATGCCGCCACTGAGCTGCATGCCATGGCTTCCCTCGGCCCTCCCCTTGCTTTCTACTACTGCCTTGTTTTGGGATTTTTGGTGTGGTTTCCTGAGAACAGTTAAATACCATGTTAGCTGCTTTTATATGGGGGGCGCATCCATAGCCAAACAACGCTAGCTCCTAGAAATCATCGACATCATTAAACTGGCGTGCCCGCCTAGTACTGATGCGTGAAAATAACCATCCACCCGCCTAATTTTGGGAACAGGACAAGAAGTTGTAGTTGTATTCAAGAACCTGTTCCTTTCTTTTTTCCTATATTCCCTGGGATTATGCAGTACTTTTGTGCTCTTGGGATCATTCCGTCCAAGAGCTGATAATGATGGATTGATGTCTGATTTCTGATTTGCTTGTAGTGTCTCACAAAGCAAAACAGTTGTCGTTATTCAGAAGAAAACAACAAGTTCTAAGAAACCGCTAAAAACAAGGACGCAACCGAATAGTCGTCAAAGGAGTTTGGTTGGAATCCAAATAACAAGTTAGCAGCAGGGGAGGAGCAAAACAAGTTTTAAACGGACAAAAGCATCCTGAAGGAATCCCAGCCAATAAAAATAAGAAGGAACAAAATAGACGGCCGCGTCGTTTACCTTGGGATAAAAAGGGAGAGGGCCCGTTGAAAATGTTTAGTTGGTGTGGTCTGGAAGACGACAGGGTTGAACCCTGACATGTTTTTTGGTGGGAAGATCTCCAAGTCGTGAACATCGAAGTTAACAACTGCGAAAAGAAAAGCTACTAGAATGAGAAAAAGGAGCAAGTTTACTTCCGAGCAAGTCCCCCAAGTTTCTAAAGATCCTGCCTTAGGCAGATTTTCGTTAGATATATGGTATAGTTGGCCATGGTTGGAACATCCTGCGAAAACCCAGAAATAGAAGGGTCCATAAAATATTGCTATCAAGAATCTAGAAGTGCAGACTGCAATCCAGTTAGACCAACCTCGCTCGAAGAGTCTAACGTTCTGTTATTTATGTGCTGCAGTGACCAGAATCCCGGGGCTGGAAACAACTGGAGCACAAGTAATTAAGTCGTGCGCTGCAACTCTCTGGATTTCATAAGAGGAATTTCCACATTTAGCCTGTTAACAGAACAAAACAAAAAACAGTTACAGGGGAGCAAAAAATGAAGCACATGCCGATCCAGTCCATCCATCAGACAACATTCAACAAATTGCACTCACGTTTGGTGCCCAGCTGCAACATGTTGTGCTGAACTGAATTTCCCTATGCACTTCCCATAATTGGGATTGCATTGACAGATGACGGGTTTAAATGGACGATATAATTTACTGTATGATCATCCTCTGGTGAATCACCAGAGCAGTAACCATCAGGAGGTGCCATTTATAACAGATCATCTACATGAGCCTCTGCTTGGCAGTCAAAAGGAACATAATGCGACCTGGAACATGAGGACCCATCACATCTTTCCGGTGAAACATGATGTTGTTGCGGTCTGACATCACAGATTTCCCAGATTCGCTATAGATGGGCCCGGGTCTCAAACCGAGGGACTTGGTCTTTCCAGGGTCAAACTTGCTCATAATTTTGGGCAGTTAGCTGAAGTATATGTATCACCAACATACCACTCAGGTTTACTTCAGATCTTTCTGAAAAACATCTCCTTCGGAGTAAGATGCGCCGATATTTTGATGACTTCATCTTCGCCGTCTCAACGAGCACAAAAGGGTCCATTGATTTGCTTGTGTCAGAACCAATGCTTACCACCATTCACTTATCTCCAATGCCAGTTAAAGTTAACAACAGTCCTGGAATTCCACCAGCTGTTTCCAAGCAAACAACGGAGAGAAATACAAGATTGATCTGAGACAAAAATATGTGCATAGAGAATTCAGTTTCCTCACCCGATCAGGATCATAATTGGCCAAGCAAAGACTTAAGGGAGAGAATGCAGATGGCAGTAAAAAGAACACCTGCCACACACATGTTTTTTTTTTTTTTTTTTTTTTTTTTCCCCTCATAATATCTGCAACACACTTGTTTACACAAAGAATACAGGGCTGGCAACCTCTCACACTCACCTATGCTGGGAAATTCCAGCTAGTCACTGCTGTGTTAGCAAGCCCGACTCACTTCTGGATGAGTGTAATTCAGCTACCTAAGAAAGTCATAAGGGAGGTAGAGCAGCTGTGTTCTAAGTTCTTATGGGGAAATATTGAGCAGGAGAAAAAGGCAAAAGTTTCATGGAAGTATGTTGCTATTCCAAGATAAGAAGGGGGATTGGGGTTTAAGGATTTACATACATGGAACAAGGCATGTTTAATTAGGCATCTGTGGGCAGTAATTTCTTATCAAAAGACCCTCTGGACTGCTTGGATAAAAGAATATCGACTCATGAACATTAGCATCTGGGAGATTAGTACAAAGTGGTCGTGAATCTGGAATAAAATCTTGAAGCTAAGACCTGAAGTGAGACATCACTTCAGAATGACGAGGCAGGAGGTAGAGTGGCAGGGGAAGCTGATGGATAGATACCACATGTCTCAGGTTTGGGAGAGTATACGGCCAAGGCAACAAGTAGTCACCTGGAGTTCTTTGGTTTGGCACTCAGGTATGATCCCCAGAAACTCATTCATAGTTTGGCTTGTTATGCTTGACCGGATTGCTACATTGTCAAAGGTTAAGACTTGGAATCCAAATGTTTGTGCTCTCTGTCCTTTGTGCTCATCTGAGGAGGAGACGAGAGAACACTTGTTCTTCTCCTGTAATTATGTGAAACGGATTTGGAATGTAGTCTGGGTGGCCTGGCCTGTTCAGTTTTATGAGGACTGGGTTACAGGGGTAGAAGGTTGTTTGGAGGGAAGAAGCTGGAATGCATGGGGCTGGTGGAAAAGATGCAGAAGGTATTGCAGGCAAAGCTGGATGGTGATGGGAAGTTTGCTGTTGCAGCTAGCTCCCGCAAACTATGATTCTGTTGAAAAGCAGGAGTCTCATTTAGTTACTCTGGTTGTAATCTGTTGTACTTGTATCTGTTTTGTTTTGATTGGTTGATGGTGTACAGAAACATCTTGTAACAGATGGTATTTTGATGAAATAAAATCCAACCATTCATAAAAAACAAACAAATACTATCTTGGGTTAAACCATAACTTAGATAGCTTAATCTTATGCTCTGCACAGAATTGCTGCGACCCCTACACATGGTGCAGATATATGCAAATATTGAGTCAAACTGACGTTCCCACATGCTCATAAAGATCGATTTCACATTCTTTTTCCTATCTCACATGGTGGACATTCTTTAATCAAATGCGGATTTTGCCTGATACCAATATTAGGCTGCAACAATAGAAGCCAACAGACAGCAAACTCCTGTTTTTTACAACTTCTCAGACCCAGGCAAATTGACCTTGGGACTATAGACAATATTTATCTGCAGTACACCATGAGTTCATCAAGAAGTCTAAAGTGACATAAGCTAGCTTCAAAAGTTCAACTATATGATTATGACCCTCATCTACAAATCTCAAATGATTAGTCACCACTTTACAGAAGCATGCCAAATAACATCAAGTTGCTTGGGAGAACAACCTAGCTTCTAGTGCTCGTATTCAGTACCGATGATGCCAGAAGACAACTCCAAAAAATAAAAATAGTGGCATTGGAAATTTTCGAACAAAATAAGGAACAACAAGTACCAGGAAAAGCAAGAAGCACAAAGGAAGTTATTCGTTGCAAGTGATTTACCTCCCCAGCACTGTAAATGAACCTTTGCTCGTCAAAGAAGAGCAACACCGAAGGTGAAGTATCCTGAGAATCCATTCCTGTTCCCAGGATCTGGAGTACATTGAGTTCCATTAATATCAGCAACAACTAAGGTAATAGTAAAAGTAAATACATTGAAGAATTCACTCGGATGATATTGCATTTGTATCTCACAATTCTGAGGCAAGCATCCGTCAGAACCATGAAGGTTCTCCCAATATTTTGACAAGAAAATCTGTCCACCAATAGCAGTAAACGGATTGAAGAATTTACTCAAACGATGTTTGATTTTCTACAATTGCGTCCTGATCATGGTCCAACAATTGTGGCCTGAAGAGCATAAAAACTGGCTTAGGTACATGGTAACCACAGCATATCAGTGTTACACTAGCTAATTCAAGTCAAACAAAAACAACAATGGAGCTTCTCTTCCTCGCACATTCTACATAACTGAATCCCAAAATTGATATTCATGAACCACACCAAAGTTTTGACCAAACCCTATGGTTATCCAAAACCATCACTGCCCATGAAGTCAAGCTTCCATCTTATTGACAGTCAGTAAAATTTTCAATGGTTCAAATAAATAAAAAAATGTAAAATGCGCAGACTAAAGTCAATATTCTCGATACCTATAGTCTGTACAGAAGAGATACTGTTAGTAGGATTGAGCTTTCGGTCTTTCAAGTGAAGATTCTTCCTCGGCGGGTCACTTTCATCTCTACCCTCAGCCCTTTTCTTATTAAACCCTGAAAAATTACCACCACCACCACCACCACCACAGCCATTCTCCCTCATTGAAGCGCCCTCCTTCCTCCTTTCAAGAGAAGGAGATGAGACTGGAAGAGATGCATTGGGGCATTTGTGCTGCTGACTTCGGCGGGGAGGAGAGAGTGGGATTTTGCGAGAAATTCTCCTCCCTGTCGATCTGTAAAACTGAAGCAAATATCGAATTAGCAAACATAAGACTTGCATTGCATGACAGTGTCCAGCCACATCTGCCGACGAGTTGCTGTTGACGATGCAGAATTGCAGACGAATCAAGCCGTAAGTACGCAACGCCACTTTCCACAAGTGTACAACAGTAATAAGTATGCTAGTTTGGCACCATTAATCAATAAGCTGGAATAGCTCAGTTGGTTAGAGCGTGTGGCTGTTAACCACAAGGTCGGAGGTTCGAACCCTCCTTCTAGCGGCTTTTTTTCATTTTTTTCCCCCTTCAGCCTCTTCTCCTTCCTTAATTTGGATTTGCGAAAACTTGGCAATATGTCCAGAAATTTGAGATAAGGTGAATATAGAACACCCACCACGAAACAAAATCCTCCTGTCCTGCGCTTTGCCAACGAAAATCTGAAACTCCATATAGTTAATGCCACTCTTCCCACCCACCCAAATTGAAGAAAGAAAGAAATGGGTAGTCTCCAATTCAACTCATCTTCTTCATGTTGTTGCTATGGAACCTTCGCACCATCTTCCTCTAGCAGTCTCCAACAAAACCTCATTCCATTTTCCTTCATCCCCACAAAAAGATCTCTCCTTTCTTTCTCTTCCTCCAGAACTGCCACAACAAGGATAAGGGCAGTGAGCACTGTCCCAGAGAGCTCGCCGGAGCAAGCAACGCCAGCAGCCGCAGAAGCAACCGAACCGCCTTTGGTCAACCTGGCATTTGTTCATGTGAGTTGTCTGAAGTCAGTACTAACCTTTAGCTAGTTGATATAGACAGAGTTCATGTTTGACCAAATAGAATCAAAGTTTTTTTTTTTTTTTTATCTGAATGAATGAATGTACAGTCGGTGTTGATGCCTGATGGCACACCAGATGTGCATATGAGGAGAGCCATTGGAGGGCAGAAGCTTAGAGACATCATGCTGGATTCTAACATTGAGCTCTATGGTCCCTATGTAGGTCTAAACACCCACAACTTCCCTTTCTTTCAGCTCCATATTTTCCCCCCATTTCCTCAAATTTCATTCTTCATTCCTGGACAGGCTAGGCCTCTGCTGAACTGTGCTGGAGGAGGAACTTGTGCAACTTGCATGGTCGAGGTATGATTTCGCATTTGACTGGTATCGAACCGGTATCACACAATTCCCCTCTGTTGAATAAATCGACCCTTCTTCTTCCAGGTTGTACAGGGGAAGGAGCTCCTGAGCCCTCGCACTGATAAAGAGAATGAGAAACTCAAGAAGGTATGTGACATTTGACATTTCCCCATATACCACATTAGCAAGGACTTGTTTGGTACATGATTATAGTTCTTCTATTTTTAACAGAAGCCTAAAAACTGGAGACTTGCCTGTCAAACCACAGTTGGGGAACCAGATTCTACTGGGCTGGTTTGTGAACTTCTCCATCCACATCTTATTAGCTGGCTACTGACATGAACATCAGTTGTTTACATATGTTTTTACTCAGTTAATGGTGCCATTTATGGTTTGCAATTAAGCTTGACTTAGTGTGGGGATGGGATTGATTTTGGTGCAGGTTGTGATCCAGCAATTGCCAGAGTGGAAAGGCCATGAATGGGGTTATGAGAAAGTGCTGCCCCCTGAGTTCATGGTCGATGAATAGAGATTTCACTCCTCACCATTCTGCAAATATGTTGTCCTGCTGCAACACTTGAGAAATCACAGCATATATAATTCTTTACTTGAGATATTGTACATGTTATATGTAAGCTTAGTTGATCATCAACTTGGGTTGTTGAAACCAATCACGTGATGCATTTCTGTCTCACCAATTGTTACTGTCAAACCGGGGTGCTCAATTAGTACGATATTGTCCGCTTTGGGCCAAGCCCGCACGGTTTTACTCTTGGGTGTCCTCCCCAAAAGGCCTCGTACTAATGAGATTGGTGGACACTAATATACAAGGGTTCCTTCCCTTGTATAACCGTTGTGGTACTTGGATTGTCCCATAACAATCCTCCCCTCAAGCCAAGGACCACGAACATCGTGTCTCACCTCAGCGATTATCTTGATCCGCCAGATGCCTTGTATCGATGGGCTTCTCGATACAAGGATTTTACCAGACGCAGAACTCTCTTTGATCTGCTTCCCAAATGCGGAACTCTCTTTGATCCGCCAAGCCCAAACGTGGATCTCTCCTGGATCCACCAAACCATATGCAGATCTCAAACCCCGAGGTCACCGAGCGAGGGTCCACCGAACTGACGTCCATCGCCCCGGATCTGCCGAACCAGGCTCTGATACCACTTGTTATAAACGCGGTGCTACGGATCGGGAAATCGCTGGAATCGACAAAGCAAGAATACGAAAGCGAGAATCGAAAACACAGACACACGATTTACGTGGTTCACTAACACGATGTGTGTTAGCTACGTCCACGGGCGAGAGAGAGCCAGTTTCACTATATCAAGGAGATTACAGATTACAGAGAAGTATGAAAAGTATTTATAGTACTTCTCCATGTAGGTCTAAACCTAATCCAATCTGGCAGCGAGACCCCCGATTACCAGTCGTAGCGGCTGATAGTCCGATTCAAGTCATATAAACAAATCTCCACCTTGACTTGAATCCTCTTCCTCTGAAATCTCTGATGTACTCTGCTCCTTCTCTCTCTCTCCCGCCATCAATGCCCCGCAGGGCGGAGTCACCCACTCAAGACATTCAGCAAGTCCAAGCAGTGTTGGAACTTGCCATGTGGAACCGGCTTCGTGAACATATCAGCAGGATTATCCGCGGTGCCAACCTTCTTCACCTTAATCCTCTTCTCTGTCCTCAAGAAATGATACCTCACATCGATGTGCTTAGTCCTCTCATGGTGGACTTGATCCTTGGCCAAGCATATTGCACTCAAACTGTCACAATACACCACTGCCTGATCATGATGTAGACCAAGATCACCAACCAGTCCCTTCAACCATATTCCCTTCTTAGCAGCTTCTGTCAATGCCATATACTCTGCCTCAGTAGTAGACAATGTCACCGCCGACTACAAAGTTGCCTTCCAGCTCACTACAGAACTCCCAAGAGTGAATACATAACCGGTCATCGATCTCCTCGTGTCAACATCTCCAGCATAGTCCGAGTCAGAATACCCAGACACCAAGCACTCTATATCACTTCCGAAGCTAATCCCCACATCAGGTGTACCCTTAAGGTACCGGAAGATCCTCTTCACAGCCTGCCAATGCTCCTTCCCAGGTTGTATCATAAACCTGCTGACAACACTAACAGCATGTGCAAGATCAGGTCTAGTGCATACCATAGCGTACATCAAGCTACCTACTGCACTAGCATATGGGACTCTCGACATGTACTCCTTCTCAGCCTCCAACTGTGGTGCATAAGCTGAGGATAGATGAACATTTGAAGCACTAGGAGTATTTAAGGGCTTTGCTGAAGACATGCCAAACCTCGACAGTATCTTCTGGATGTAGCTCTTCTGTGACAAGAAAAGCTTCTTCTTCGACCTGTCCCTGTAAATCTCCATACCCAAGATCTTCTGAGCAGCTCCCAAATCCTTCATCTCAAACTCAGCACTGAGAAGCCCCTTTAACTTCTGGATATCAGACTTTGACCTCGCAGCTATGAGCATATCATCTACATACAGAACAAGATAGATCATCGAACCATCCTCCACCTTGTTGTGATACACACAACAATCATATGGACTTCTGCTATAGCCCAGCTCAAGCATATAACTATCAAACCTCTTGTACCACTGCCTCGGAGACTGCTTAAGTCCATACAAGGACTTCTTCAGCTTACAAACATAGTCTTCTTTTCCCGGGACCTCGAATCCTTCTGGCTGAGTCATGTAAATTTCTTCCTCCAACTCTCCATGTAGGAAAGCTGTCTTCACATCTAGCTGCTCGAGCTCCAAGTCATAATGTGCCACTATAGCTAGTAGCACTCTGATCGAAGTATGTCTGACCACTGGTGAGAAAATCTCATTGTAGTCAACTCCTTCCCTCTGCGAGAAGCCTCGTGCAACCACCCGAGCTTTAAATTTCATGCCCTCTTTAGAAGTGATTCCGTCCTTCTTCTTGTAGATCCACTTGTTTGTAACAATCTTCCTTCCCTGTGGTCGTTTGACTAGCTCCCAAGTCTGATTCCTGTCATGGGATTCCATCTCATCTCCAATTGCGGCAAGCCACTGATCAGCTTCACCACCCGAAACTGCTTCTCTGTAGGACTGTGGCTCTCCTGCATCCACTTCTTCAGCAACCTGAAATGGATACGCCACCATGTCCTCGAAGCCATACCTCTGTGGAGGTACTCCTGCAGTCGCTCTCTTCGGTCTACCGGAAGCAATAGACTGTTGAGCTCGTGCACTGGACTCTGAAGTTTCTGGCTCTGCAGACACATCCTCATCATGTTGATCTTCTCCACCTTGGTGCTCAAACTCACTCTCTTTGAGAGTTTGCAGCTCCACCTGCTTATCAACATTCCTGCTACCTTCAACAACAGTAACCTTCAACATGGGGTTAAACATAGACTTCTCATCAAATATCACATTTCTACTGAGTATAACTCGACGCTCAGAAGGTGACCAGACTCGAAATCCCTTAACTCCATCTCCGTAACCCACAAATACACCCTTCTTTGCCCTTGGGTTCAGTTTACCCTCATCCACATGATAATAAACAGGACACCCAAAAACTTTCAGTGAAGAGTAATCAGCAGGCTTACCATACCACACCTCATAAGGAGTCTTCAACTCAATACCTGTGTGAGGTCCACGGTTGATCAGGAAGCACGCCATGTTCACTGCTTCTGCCCAGAATCTTCTCTCTAGTCCAGCATTTGAGAGCATGCACCGTGCTCTCTCCAACAATGTCTGGTTCATCCTTTCTGCAACGCCATTCTGCTAGGGTGTATCTCTCACAGTCCGATGACGGGCAATCCCTTCATCCTTGCAGAATTCGTTGAACTCAGAATTACAGAACTCCAGACCATCCGTTCGCAGCTTCTTGATCTTCTTCCCGGTCTGATTTTCCACCAATGTCTTCCACTGCTTGAACTTCGTGAAAGCCTCACTTTTCTGCTTCATCATGAAAATCCAAGTAAATCTCGAATAATCATCAATAATAGACAGAAAATACATGATGCCTCCAATGGATTCAACTCGTGAAGGACCCCAACAGTCGGAGTGGAGGTAATCTAGTATCCCCTTCGTTCGGTGGATACCCTTTTTGGGAAACTTGCTGCGATGTAGCTTCCCAAACACACAATGCTCGCAGAATTCCAAATTCTGCATCTTGTGCCCGCAAAGAAGATCCCTCTTCGACAGAACTTGCATCCCTCGTTCACTCATATGCCCCAATCTCATGTGCCAGAGAGTGGTCATATCTTCCTGATGAACCTGAGATGATGCAACTGCAGCAGAACCAGACAACACAGACCCTTGTAATGCATACAAGGTCCCACGCTTCACGCCCTTCAGCACCTTCCTTGAACCTTTGCAGACATACACAACTCCACCTTTTCCTTTGAAACTGAAACCCTTGCTGTCGAGTAGACTCAAGGAGATCAAGTTCTTTGTCATTCCTGGAACATGCCTGACATCATTCACGGTACAGAACGAACCATCATGTGTCCGAACCTTTATGGACCCGATTCCAACAACCTTGCAGACAGCTCCATTAGCCATGACCACGTTACCACCATCTATCTGCTCGTAGGTTGTGAAGCAATCCCTGCTCGGAGACATATGGTATGAGGCTGCAGTATCCAGAAACCACACATCCCCACGATGTGTCTTCTCATCTACAGCCAAGGCGAGATCGTCTTCAGAACTGTTGTCCACTTCTGCCACGGCAACTGAACCTTGTTTCTTCTGTTGCCCTCTTCTCTTGGGACAGTTGTACTTCCAATGCCCCACTTCCTTACAGTTGTGGCAAGCATCACCTGGCTGTGGACCGGGACCCTTGGAATTCTTGTTCGAATTCCCTTTACCAGATTTCTTCTTTCCCTTTCCACCTGTAACAGCCAAACCCGATGCCTCACCACCTGTACCAGATCCGGACGCCTTATGCCTGATCTCTCTCGTATGAAGAGCAGACCTGACATCCTCCAACGACACGCTTTCTTTACCGGCAATAAAAGAATCAACGAAATTCTCATATGAACTCGGCAAAGAAACCAGCAGGATTAGGGCAGCATCCTCGTCATCAACTTGAACATCTATATTACGCAGATCCAGCAAAATAGAGTTAAGTTGTTCGAGATGTTCCCTCAAAGGCGTACCTTCTTGCATCCTCAAGCTGAACAACCGTTGCTTGAGATGCAGCTTGTTGGTTAGAGACTTAGTCATGTACAGACTCTCTAGTTTCAACCACAAGCCCGCGGCAGTCTTCTCAGCAGCGACTTCAATGATGACGTCATCAGACAACGATAGCATGATGGTCGAGTGGGCCTTCTCCTCCAGGGTATTCCACTCATCGTCATCGACCGCTGCCTTCTTCTGTTTCGCAGACAGCGGCCCCCACAGCCCTTGCTGTTTTAATAAAGCCTGCATCTTGATCTGCCATATAGCAAAGCTGTTCTTCCCCGTGAACTTTTCGATCTTCATGTTCACCGACGTCATTCTTCTGAATCGAAAACCCCAGCCTGATTTCCAGTCGCGGCTCTGATACCACTTGTCAAACCGGGGTGCTCAATTAGTACGATATTGTCCGCTTTGGGCCAAGCCCGCACGGTTTTACTCTTGGGTGTCCTCCCCAAAAGGCCTCGTACTAATGAGATTGGTGGACACTAATATACAAGGGTTCCTTCCCTTGTATAACCGATGTGGTACTTGGATTGTCCCATAACAGTTACTTCAGTTATTCACTACCAAGGATTACAACCGATTCTCGAGCTGCAAATGTGAATATGTACAATATAATCACGCAAGGGATCACCAAGAGTAATAAACATCCAACGAAAGCAAGGTTACGAGATTTTGAATATTGTAATAGTTGAATCGGAGTTGCGATTGCAAGGAGATCGGATGTGGCTTGTTTTCATATATACCATTCTCGAACTATGATTCTAAAATTTAACCATCCTCATAACCAAAATTATATGAAAATATAATATATCATACCAAAACCAATCAATATGTGGTTCACGGAAATCCACCCGCACCATCCTCGAACAACTATGTATAATTTTTTTTTATATCATCTAAAAATTTCTTCGAATATCATTATTAAATGAAATTTTTTTGTCGCATTGTTTATAAAATTGAGAGAAAATGAACAAGATTTGAAATCTAAAAGATAATTATA